GGGGTATATAAGCTTTCATGATAAACGTGACTCAGTATAACATTGCGACTACAGTAAAAAAGCTTTTAATGTTCTAAAACCACAGATTTATGAGCAGTATTGGATTTGAAGATGTTAGAAACACACGTCATTGTTGTCATGTGGTGAATTTGGCCAATCGTGAAACAGCTGTGTCTTCATCAGCACTCCTGCAGTCGCTCTGAAAAAGCTGCGCCAGCTGAGTCAGCCGGCTGCTCTCGAAACGCTATCGCGGTACTTTGATGCTACACGTGACAGTGACGTGGCGTCGGTTCAAGTCGGACTAAAATTCTAACCGGCATGCACTGCTTCAAGTCAGCCGCCGATCGGTCTACACAGTGCTGCATGAAGTCGAACGCACCTGTTGGCATGATTGAGAGCAAACGTGAGAGGTCACAGGCCTACGGTAGGGTGTGGCCAAGTAAAAAATAAAAAATCTCCCAAAAATCTCTAGTTTTATTTAAATGTAGCTAAAATAGCTCCTTGTCGCAAAAAATAAAAAAAAGTCGCAGCTACAATGAGAAAGTAGCTAAATTTGGCAACAAAATCCCCAAATTGGCAACACTGAGTGCAGCCAAGCTGGTGTTGATAATGTCATTATAAAACAGATAGTTCCGACTCAATTCTGATTGGATGAGCAGCAACCAATACGGGTTGACAAAGTTGATATATTAAAGGAATTGTTCACACAAAAAAAGAAAATTTACTCATCCTTAGACCAAGATGTGGATGAGTTTGCTTCTTCATCTGAAGAGATTTGGAGAAATTTAGCATTAGATCATTCGGTCACCAGTGGATCCTCTGAAGTGAATGGGTGCCGTTAGGCCTGGGCGATAAAACGGTATCGATATTTATCGACGGTACACCCTCTTCGATAACGATAGAAAAATTTTTCGATATAGTGCACGATATAGGCACGTGCTATGAGTGACGCAGACCGCACACACAAACACGAACACATGCTGAATGGAGTGCTGTGCCTGCCTGTGATAAGGAGATTGTGAATAATTTTTTTTTATATTAGTCGAATTTAAAAAACATTTGCATTTGAATGCAAAAATAGTACAATCAAATGTTAGGTGTGTGTCTGGGAGCGTCATTAGTGGAGCGCGAGATGCGGTGATGATGATGTAAGTGACATTGTTGAATTTTAATGTTTTGTTAGTCTAGCCCACAAGACGCGCAGTTGCTGAGTTATTCATTCAAAATATTAGAGAAATATAGTAGCTCAATGCGTAGAAGATTTTGATTAGGTAAAAAGCAGAAACCAATTCACACAGAACGCATATTCAGCACATTTTTTAGACGGACAAATACACCACACCAGAGTCATCCATCCATAATTTTGCTCAGATAAAAAAAAAAAGTAATCTTGACTGACTCAGGAGAGAAATAATCATAGATCAAGTACTGTTTACAAGCTAACAGTTCTAAACAAGTGTGTCTGTGGCTTTGAATATGAAGAATTACTTACTGGTAATTTCACTGGCAAAAAAAGTCCACTGAAGCACAGCTCACAGCGATATCAATTTCAAAACAAGCAGCTTCTGTTGGTCGACGTTGTGAATCAGCATAACCAACTTGTGCCCATTGCAAATTCTGTGTGGGAAAATCTTTCGCCCTCATGCAAAATTTCAGATCATTCTTATTAAAATTACCTGATTTCGCCCTTGAAAATTTGCAGAACAACGATAAATATTATTGGACCTTGAGTACATTTACTTAATTTACTAATTGTTTTTTTATTATATTATATTTTTTATATTGGTTTCACTGAAGTTTTATTTTACATGCCAGTCCTATGAGTATCAAAAAAGTTATGTCTTGTGGCTTTTTTAAAAACATTGAATGAAATATTTTCATATCAAGAATATGTTTTATGTGTCACAGAATGACACACTTTATGACGTAATGACCCCATTATATGCACCCCTCCCCCCATGACGTAATTATCCAATCCTGGTATGCGAGCCAAGCATAACCCAGACAGATCATGGGCGCGCCACGATATTTTCATCACAGTCACCCAAAACAATAGAATCCCGCTGCTTCTGGAGTTGCCACTGTACCAAATTCCAACCGAGTGTCTTTGATCATGTTTAAACTGGATTCAGGAAAGGAAATTAGTCTAATATTAGTCATTGTAGGCAAGCATTGCGATAGGAGTCATTGTCCATGATCAGAGATGTCAGGAGACATTATCTTTCGAAACAGGATGTAAGTTGTTGTGTCATACAGAGTGGTAAGTTGACAGTTCACTGTTTGTCACTGCATAAGTCTCTGTATAAGGTGAAAAGAGCTTTTTTTTTTTTTCTTCCTGAAAACTACAACTGATCAAGATCAGTCTGCTTTATTTAAACACACAACAGTTTGATATAGTTGTGAGCTCTTATCGACATTCTGTGTGCAGCTACTCTGCGACTTGATATCATCTGTAGAGGAAGCCAGAAAATTGCAATGCAAATAAGTACTCTCAGTTCACAGCCATAGGAAGCCAGAGAGGAACGATGACACATTTGTTTTGGTCTACGGTTGATGTGTTAGACTTCTTACTTACATCTATCCATTTAGCTGACAGTTTTATCCAAAGCATGTTATGAAGAGCTATCTGGGCACCGGCATTCCCAGAAGAACATTACTCATTGCAATTTCAACATGTCTCGTTATTTATTTCTTGTGTCTCCAGTGTGGTGAACAGAATGTTGAAGTGTTTGCATGTCTCGTGCACTGATCCTCAACTAGTTCCCAAGTTTCCCTCGCAGGCCACAGTATCCATCAAGGCTGCATAAGTAGGCCTCATGGAGCCAGATCAGCTGCGTCGTCTCCTTTCCACAAAAGAAGAGCCAGTCTCCCTATATCACATAGTCATTCTGATCAAGTGATGAAATGCAGACACATGCGTAAGGCCATTGGAATCTTTATATTGCAGCTGTTTCTCTTTCCGTCACACACACACACACACACAATGTGAGAAGGTGCTAGTTCGATCAGATCAAATCCTTTACTGGAACTCCAAAGTGGGTAATGAAAGTCACAGAGTGTTTTCCATGGATAGGGTTTTGACTGGTTTGAACTACATTGCGTTACAGTTAGACTGTTGTTTGGCATGTGATGGATCTCCTCTCACTAATGTATTGTCTTCACATTATCAGAGTCTAGCAGTGTAGCCAAACCATTACTGTACCCATGGAGACCAAACACACCAGCCAAATCTGGCAGCTGGTGACCTCAACAAGCAGAGAACATCCTACGTTACTCTTAGTTATGACTAAGGCTAGGGTGATATAATGAATATTTGCAATATATTCACAGTGGTTTTGCTGGTGAGATAAAATAAGGCAACATAATGAATATTGGGATGTTTTTAATGTGCTTTTTATTTGACT